GAATCTTTGCATCAGAAATACCCTTTTACACAAAACTGAACTCATCACAACATACTTAATGTCTGCACACGAATAAAATTGATGTATATTAAGGATGTGTATACGATCCCTTGGTCCCACACCGTATCGCTTGTTTAGGTGTGTAATCAAAAGGGCATTGTGTGCTTGCATTGCCGTTGATCCCTATAAAGTGTCAAAGCTTTGTCCAGGTTCCAAGCTGATCAAACCTCCTCTTACTTGCTGTTTGTCCAGCTCACTCACTGGCTTTCAAAGTCAACCTTTCCTACATACATTTTCTCTCTGCTAATTCCAGTCTCGGACCGAAAGCCTGAATCTTTGGGTGTGAAAGTGCTCCATAATCCACTGCTTCAATTAAGGTCTGATACTTGATCCACTGATGACCTGACAAATGAAGCTAACTTTGTAGTACCTTTTTAAAATGGTTTCATCTCCGATGAGAGGTTGAAATGGGTTGCCAAATTGGACTTTGGTAGACTCAAGGTCAAATAAATACTGGTGCAACTTGTCTCCTGACAGATTTGTCGGTTACTATGGCTAAAGCACAGCTTTTGCTCAGCACAACTGCAGATAGAAGATATGTTCTATTTTGGTTTAGAGGCAAATTAATTGCAAGAACTTTGTGATATTTTGTTAAAAATTATACTAGAATTGAAGATATGAAGACCAAGATGTTGTAGCCTCTGATATGGTCCTTTCAAGTTATAGAAGTGGGTTGAACTTGTTGTCGCAACAAGGTCTTGTTGTCAGGGTGACTTAGCAGGACGCACCTAGTCCGAGATCACTTGTCCCTTTTGACGAGTTCGTAGCTTGGTTCGGAGAATGGCAAAACTCACTGATGATGCCAACTACAACGTTTGAGAATGTACCAAGTCCACTGTCTGATGCTGGGAATGATGACAACTACTATAACAGACGACTTTGGACTAGTTGCGTTCAACTAAGTCGCCCTGACAACAGGATCAAGTCGCGACAGGGAGGTCAACCCACTTCTATTATGCTAGAATGTTGAGAAGAGGTAACATTTGCTAGAAAAGTATGACAAATTAGTACTCAATTGAGCTGGAGGTTGGTGGTAGTGTGGGGGCGTAGGGGTGAGGATGAGGATCCGGGGTGGTGCAAAATTCGACCTGCCAGATGACGATTGGCAGGATCATATGTTGTCTCTCAATCTATTGGGAGAGTGAGTATTGAAGGACACCACAAAAGTTTATGCAGGAGGCAATACTACACAGGGCTTTTTAAATTTATTAGAGCACGGAATGCATCGAAACCTACTTATAACGAAAATAAGTAATCTCGTGTAAGACGGCAATGGAAAATGGATGAAGTGAGCCTTTGCTTGAAGAAAGGTCGTGAAGAACGTTCGAATTTCCGTTGTTTTACTTCGTTTTCGTGGGTTTGTGGCGACCTAGATGAACGCACCTGTTCCAAAATCCTTTGGCAAATTTGTCATGATAACATTTACTGTCAATTCTACGGTTCGAGACTGAAAATTATCATGACCACTCTGGGAACGGATTTTGCACAAGGTTTCTTCATCTTGGAGTCCTGACAACAGCATAAAGTTGGGAAAACGAGGTCAAACCAATACCAAGATGCAGGTCACATTATCTTGGTTTAAATCAACTCGATTAATTCTTAACTAACACAATATTATTCGACTCTAAGTTCAGAAGGAAACTTTGTTGGAAGAGATTTGTGAATTGGCCGCACTCGAAATCGAATGAGAATAATATACTTGTAGTAGATGTCGAACTGTTGGCTTGGGCAAAGAGATCCTCGGCTCAACTGCCTGCGATCCTGATCCATCCGTTTTGAGGTTCCATCTCTCTCTTTTCCCAATATAGACAATATGTTCTATGTCGTAAATGCTAGCTTCCCGCTTCAACACTATTTTTAAAAAAGAATTACGGATTTATCCTTTCATACAGGCAACGACCTGAGAACCTGTTTGCATAATCCGTTTCAGGAGAGGCCAGTTTGCAAACAAGTTCCAGCCAACTTTCCCTTCAAAATAATTATTCGAGTCACACTAAATTGCAGATCTTGTCTAAACTCTACCTTCTAGATTGGGGACTCGGACAAAAAGCACAACGTGACTTAGTTTGCTGTATGTATGCGTGTGTGCGTGTCGGTCGCAATATTCTTGTGTGATTCCCAGTCACTTAGAGGTTATTTATGTTGAACTTAGATCTAATAAACAGTTGATAAAGCCCACAGAGACTCATGACAACGAAAAAAAGTTTTTTCGTTAGTTCAGGCCTATTTCAAAAGCAACAATACTTCACAATCAAGGACTTAGTCCGTCTATGTCGCTTAATGAAGGATATGCCAAGGTTTCCACCATGATCTGATATCGTAAGGCCTACTCATTTAGGTTCTGAAAAAATTCTAAAATAGAACTTTTAATGTTGCAACTTTCAATTGGTTTGAAAAAGGCCGGTAGTAGTGAAGCGTAATTCGAGCGCACCGGAAATCGAAAGAAGAGTGTTATGGCGTTGTGATTGCTAATTCGGTTAA